ACTGCTGCGGCTTGCTGTCCGAGGAGCCTTCGATATTATTATGCCTTTCTCCCCCTCCAACTTTTCCAACGCTTTACAATTTGCATATAAGGCCAGGCCTAGTACCCTGGATGCTGCTGCTCTTGTTGTCTATTTTGCTCTACGAGATTTAGATAAGATTTGCCGCGCCTACGCATTTGAATTTCTTGACTACGCCATCTCCTGCTTAAAAAGGCATCCGCCCGCGGCCCTCTCGGCTGGGCTGTCTCTCGGCTTGGAGACTTTTAATTCTCGCACTCAATTCGTCGTCCAAGCCGGCAAGCTGACATCTAGGTTCTACCTTATCACCTCAGATCTACTTCCTCCACACTGTCAAATTGAGATCGCCAAAAGACTGCCTGCATGTTAACTATGCTGACGATGTGGTTGTTGTTCATCCTCTTAAAAAGCAGACGCATCCCCAAGTTCTGAAGTAAGGCCTGGACCACGTCTCAGCTTGGTCGTTCTAAAAGGGTCTTCTACTGAAGAACCAGAAGTCAGTCCAGTATGTATTCCGATTGCGAGCCTTTCACATTCCCGAATCTTTAGACAATCTGCTGTACGATGCATTGTAGTGGCTAAGTAGTAGTTGTATACCGGTCAATACAATCTTCAATTCAAATACCAAGCTATAATTAAAAGGCAAGACTCACCAGAGTGAAGGCTTTATTGTGCGCAGCACCCTATATTTTTCGCAGTGACCAGTGGCAAAACCAGAGCTGATATTGACTGTGCCCAGTCACGTTAAAGCTTCCTTCACTAAAATTCGTAAACTTCTGTATTATGTTCATCTTTACCCCATCATATACCCCAATACCTAATCTGCGATACATAGATGCCTGCATTCTCCTTCTATTTATTCTCTATTGTTCTCCTGTTATATTTCGTACTCTGCTTAAAAAAGACTTGTTGACTTTTAAACGTATCCATCGAACGTTGCCTTCAGTCGCTGGTGTTTTTATGCTTTTTTGGTTGATGCCATAATACATCAGCACTTCACAATGGTCAAGCAATTTGCTAATCGAATTCTCGTTGACGTTTTCCATCTCTTTCACTCTGACTTCGAAGTCCTCCCGTCCCACACAGGGAGGCTCCCGACGCATAACGGCGTCGTGTATTGCCATTTCTAGCATGTCACTTCACGTGTAAAGGGGCTAAACTGCAAAAACCTATATTGAAGCCCTTTTCGTAACAGAGATGTCCTTAGTAGAGGCCTAGTTTTTGTAAAATTTTCGATGCTTGCGCATCCTCTGGTCTCAGTGAATGGATCCATTTTGCTGCTAATTTTGGATGTTTCTCTCAATATAAAATTAAACAAAGCGTCTCTCTCTCCCGAGATCACGTTTTCTCCATCTAGCGAATGTCAAACATAAGCAGGGATTATCCCAAGCCTTCGTAATCGCACCACATCGACAACAAATCTTATTAGAAGAGAGGATCAAGCAAAGGCAGTGACGTATTCTTCAGTGTTAATAAATGCACTGTGCCCTCGGGCAGGTAATTCAATTGCGCCAATTTCGAGGGCCAACTATCCAGTTAGTTCCTGTCCTGCAATTAACACATAAACATCAACTAGATTGTTATGTTCTTTGTAAAACCAGCCTGGTTCGCCTCATGTCGCTATAATAATTCGCCCAATAACCTAGGCAGAAACATGCGTCTAAAAATTATAACATGTTTTGTAAAACAGTTTTTGTTTTCTTTATAAAATAAGGCTTTGGTTCCACATGTTTTTCAAGTGAACGCGCGCAGATGTTCCAAGATAACAGTCGCCGACAATAACATGTGCATTGCTTTTGTACATCCAACTTCTCAGACCTAAAATTTCATAAATAACACCAAAACGTAACGTGTCGAAACACGTGATTGGCGGAGAAAGTTTGAGAGATTCTATTTGATCGTATGAACTACTGTTAAATTTTTCAATTTATGTGATGCATAAAATACCTCTTCTAAACTGAGATTGGACTTTAAGGTTATTTTAGCAAAGAAAATTTGTGCATTTTTAATATAAAGTGATATTTTGCTCTATCTCTTCTGCTCTACCGAAGACCAGGGTCGTATTTTCACCTGCGTTTTCCCGTGAAAGGAAATTTAAAAAAAACGATAGGAAAAGCCCACAGAATATGCCTTCCGGAATCGGGGAAATAATAGTTATGTCCACGAACATAAAGCGAAACCACAGATGACAAAAAATGTGCTGCTTTCAGGAAAGGAAGAGCGGCTTTCATTTTGGAAGGGCTGATTTGCAAACAGGCGGCATTTTTGCGTAATAAAACATAGTAATGAAATGGTATTACAGTTTGCAACGGCAATTAAATTAAAAAAAGATACGTGGCTGTCGTATGAGTCGATAACAAGCATTTCCAGCAGTAGCCTGGTCATTTTGTGGTGAATTAGGAATGGTAGAGCTGTACCTGAAAATAAACAGGACCGACACTAGCCGTCCACTAGTAAGTACGCTGAAGAGTTTATGTGCCCGACAATAAAACGTATAATTATGTGCTCATTACGGACAGTAGTTGACGAGGTTCGTTCTGTGCATAGTTAGAAAAAAGATGGGGAAATGTGCAATTAATCTGCAAAATTCTATTAACACGTTGACATTACATGGAAAATAGATCAATCCTCACACCCTCCCTTTGGAAGATAGCGTGATTTGGCGACGATATCTTATTTTCAGAATGAGCATATGTAGAAGGGAGTTCGCATGAGAGCATACTTTGCGATGACTACTTTCAAAGCCATTTAACAACTGAAGGTTTGAGGGCCATCTAACTGGACAATTTGGAGCTTATCTAGTGATCTACAGCGGATTCTATTAACAATAAGGTGTTAATCGACGGCGTAAAGATAGCGTCGAACTACAACGAAGTTAATGGTAGCTTGAAACAAACATTTCGCAAAATAATGCACTTGTTAATAGTTCGGACGAGGAATGAACCGAATAGAGTCGACGGCTAACCTAATTAACATCTCCGCCTGCGGCTACCGAAATATTTTAATCTCCGTCACCGACTGCTGATAATTATCTACTCAAAAATCTCTTTGAACTCATCAAAAGCTGCGAGTAAAAGGCATGGAGGAAATTTTTAATTCGAAAAACTTGATTGACAAAAACGCAATAGAAAAGTTGGCAGTTTTCATCTCTGACAAACTTTGTAGTGTATTTAATTTGAGTGGGTAGTTAAACAATTTCACGTATTGAGGCAAATGTTCGCATCCCAGGTTTGTATATACGTACAGAGGAAAAGGTATGTCGATCACCGGAATCACAGTTTTATTCGTCTGAAGTTTCGAACTCTTATCGGAGTTCACCGCTAGAGATACAAGCAAGAGTTATAGGGAACAGGGACCAATTAACCACCCTGCCTGCCCGGGGCGATGTATGCCGACGCTTGATCGATATATCGATTGACTGAGTCCTAATCCAAGGCCCAGGCTTCAATCGATTCTCGGCTTGTCTTGATGTCGACGTGAGCGATTACCTTTGCGTGTTTTGTACGTGTTATAATTTAACGTTTTTTTAAAATTTTAATTCGCTCCTCTTCGGTATGCAGTACTATAGTCGTTGAACGAGGGCCAGTAGTGTTAACCAAAATTATAAATACATTTTCTTTTAGGTGGCTTTCGAATCCACTTCGTTCTGATCGTCCGAGGAAACCACACTCGGTAAAAATAACCAATTAATGAGAATGCTCCTTTTCAGTTGACTTTAGATTCCCTCAGAATTTAAGATATACACTAGGGAAAAATACTCAAAAATATCCCTTTCTGTATTAATTTAATAGCCAATGGCGCCATTTTCAAATTTTATAATTCAGAAAAGTTTATCATTTTTAATTATGAGCTTATTTATAACGATAAAATGCCCCTTCAAACAACATCAGGGACTCGTTTTTGCTAATGTTGCTTACGAAGTATGCAACCCGGTTTACATCCACTGAAAACTTTCATAAGCACTAACTGGCATCTTCTTAATAGCATAGAGCAATTTGTACTTTTTATATCAGACTAAAATTCCCACAACGCGAATGTAATGACCGATTGAGCGATAATTTATTCGTCAGTTGGGAAAAATTTTGAAACCCCAGTTTACAAACCCCCTTCTAATAAAGGAATAAGCAAATCGGTATTTTTGCTTACGTTTTGTCTACACTTCATTAAAATTTATATCGACCTCGAAAATCACCAGGCAAGCAGATTGCGCAACCGGGCCACATTTTGCAGATTATCACGCAAAGTGCAGTACTAAAATGCGCGTTTTTTGCAGGAAGCATCCTGCGTGCGCAGGAAGGGACTCCACCTGCAGAGAAGTACATCACGCCTCGTCTCCTCCACTGCAGTCGACTGTCGACGTTCGAGCTACCCTGGAGACGCTAATCTTGACCTCATCACTAAACACACAATCTTTCCGGGCCTGGGAGTAAGAGGCGTGTGACGTAGGCTGCCAGGCACGACAAGCATCATTCGCTTTCTCTCCCTGCTGCTGCTGCGGCTGGTGAAGTCTCGCCCAGCCCCCATTCTGTGTCAGTGCACTCTACAAAGGACGTACCAGTCGTGGCGGCTACTTAGTAAACCACGCTCTCCGGCTCTCTGTCTCTCACCCGGGCGGATGGGACGCACGTTGTTTTTTCCCTGCCCTCTTTCCCATTGATTTTCCCAGTCGCGTAAAGCACTCCTGCTCAAAGGGTTTTGATTTTTTGTAAGTCATAAGCATGAGAGTAAAAAGAGGCCGGCGAAAGACAGGAGCCCATCCCTGCAATTGCCCAGGGTAGCGGGTAAGCCAAGTGCGGTAGCTTAAGTTAATAAGAAAAGGCCTTGTCGCTGCGATCTCTAGGCCCAGTGCCTTGTGGGAAGAGAAGAAATGGGACGCCGGATTGGAGGGAAAGTGCATCATGCACAGAGGTAGTGGAGAATAGGTTGGAGGAATTAGACCGTCGGACGAGCTTGCGTCCGCACTCGACAGGGGTTGTGTTGGAAGTATGTGAAGGTGGCAGTTTTTACAGCGCCTACATAGTGGTCTTTAAGGTGAGGGTGATTGGCCGGACCAGATTGACGTATGCAGATAGTGGTAAGTGTGCACTTGCTAGCAAGCGTGACGGGCAAAAGTTTCGCTCGCGGATTTGGGCTAGTACAACCGTAGTTCTGACAGGATTGAAGGAGGCTGGGATGACTACTTCGGACTTATAAACTGTCGATAGGCAGCCTTAGCTTAACTCATGTGTTGCGCACCTGAGAATCGAACCTGCTTTCCTCATAAAGCGGGCGTTAACAAGTCCACAGTTATTTATTATTGAACCGCGGATGCATTGCCCAGTCAGCTGTGATAACACTAGTTAAAGCTATTTTCGATATGTGCTCATTGAT